TGGAGTCCTATATTTTCTCTGGAAAAGCTGCTCCCTGTTTCACCATCTCCTCTCAGTCTGAGTCCCAGCGACTCTGCACTGGAGTCTGCAAGGCAGGATGGGCCCTGAAATCTGACAGCTGGGAGGCTCTTCACAGCAGTTTCTAATCCTCTCTCCCCTGCTTCTTCCAGGAGGTACCAAAAAAGCATCTGGCCCCTCTGGGAAAAGAGAGAGAAGCAGCCAAAGCCGAGGAGGAGCGGCAAAGCGAGGAGCTGCCGGTAGGTGCCCAGAGCTCCCTGCCACTTAGGTTTGCCTGGCATAAGAATGACATGGTGAATGCAGAGCCCACCCTGCCAGCCTCAGCCAGGCAACAATCCCCACTGGAGCCCAGGGAGCCTGCAGGGTCAGATACATGGGTAACATGATGCCCTTAGGATGCAGGAGACTGCTGGGGAGGAGAGCGTCAGTCTGCGTTAGCCCAGAGCCCCTGCCCACAGGCCATTTGGATGTCACAGTGACTAGGGATCCTTTCTAGCTCCTGGGGGGCGGGGGGGAAGGGGAAGGAGATGAAATGTGTGCTGGAGAGATGGTGCGTTTGGCTCAGTGCAAGTTGATGAGGTTTTGGGGAGAAGAGTTCCTCCTGTTGCTGATGTACAGCTCACCCCGACCCTGAGCCCTCCTCTCTTCCTGGAGATAATGACATTCCCATCCCCCACAGCAGGAGATCTTGTGTTCTGGTAAATAAGAGAGAGATCTAGGAGTCATTGTGGATAGTTATTCCATGTGCAGCGGCAGTCAAAAAAGTGAACAGAATGTTGGGAATCATTAGGAAAGGTATAGTTAATTAGGCAGAAAATATCATAATGCCTCTATATAAATCCATGGTACACTCACATCTTGAATACTCTGTGCAGATCGGGTTGCCCCAGCTGAAAAAAGATGTATTGGAATTGTAAAAGGTTCAGAATAGAGCAACAAAATGATGAAGGGTACGGAACAGCTTCTGTATGAGGAGAGATTAATAAGACTGAGACTATGACTACATTATGCAGCTTTTAGCGACATGGCTGTGCCACTACAGCCGTGCTTCTATAAGGCGCGCAGTGTAGCTGCTCTTTGTCGGCAGGAGAGAGGTCTTCTGCCGACAAAAATCTTCCACCCTCCCACGAGTGGCAGCAGCTTTGTCGGTACGAGAGCGCTCCTGAAGACAAAGCGCTGTTCACCCTGCTGCTTTTCATTGGTAAAAATTTGTCATTCAGGGGGAGACAGGGTTAACACCCCTGAATGACAAGTTTTGCCAACAAAGTGCCAGTGTAGACAAAGCCTGAGACTGTTCACCTTGGAAAAGAGACGACTAAGGGGGGGATATGATGGAGGTCTATGAAATCATGACTGCTGTGGCAAAAGTAAATAAGGAAGTGTTATTTATTCCTTCTCGTAACACAAGAACTAGGGGTCACCCAATGAAAGTAATAGGCAGCAGGTTTAAAACAAACAAAAGGAAGTATTTCTTCACACAATGGACAGCAACCTGTGGGACTCTTTGCCAGAGGATGTTGTGAAGGCCAAGACACTGACAGGGTTCTAAGAAGAACTAGATCAGTTCATGGAGGATAGGTCCATTAGTGGCTATTAGCCAGGATGGGCAGGGATGAAGTCCCTAGCCTCTGTTTGCCAGAAGCTGGGAATGGGCAACAGGGGATGGATCACTTGATGATTACCTGTTCTATTCATTGCCTCTTGGGCACCTGGCATTGGCCACTGACGGAAGACAGGATAGTGGGGTAGATGGACCATTGGTCTGCCCAGTATGGCCGTTCTTATGTTCCCCTGTTACTGAGCCACCCTCTCCCTGTTGCAGAAACAGACGGAAGCCGAGAGGCAGAAGATCATCTGGGAGTGGCAGGAGCTGCGAGGGTTTTTGGAGGGGCAGGAGCAGTGGATGCTGTCCCGCTGGAAGAGCTAGAGAGAGCCATTGTCCAGAGAAGGGATGAGGGCATCTGCAGCCTGTCCTGGGAGATTTCTCTGCTCAGCGAGAGGGGAGGAGAGACGGGGCAGCAGCCGCTGAGACAACCCCTGCAGGTCAGGCTGTTATTGCAATGATCATACACAGTGTTTCTATAGGCGCTTCTGAGCCCTAGATCCCAAAGCACTTTACAAAGTGGGGTAAGGGGCATTATCTCTATGGGACAAATGGGGAAAGTGAGGCAGAGGGAGGGGCAGAGCCTTCCCCAAGGTCAAACAGTGAGTCTGGCAGCGGCTCCAGGGATGGGTCCTGGGAGTCCTGGATGCTGCAGTCTCAAGCCCTTCTCTCCTGGAAATGTCTGTCTGCATTTGCATTTGCAGAGTGAAATCCCCTCCCTGCCATGCTGAGGTCCTGAGCCAGGCCTAAGGCCCCTCTCACTGCAGGTTAATGGGTTTAGTGGGTCATGGGGCCTTCTGGGTCTCTCAGCACTGGAGGGAATTTGATTCTCAATGAAGAGAAATATCTTCTGCCTGCAAAAGTGCCCGGGGAGAAGCTTTCCACAGTGGCGACCTGCCCGTAGGGATTGCTGGGGCTGCGTAGGGGAAAGTCCCTGGTAGGGGGTGGTAGCTGCTCTGGGAATGTAAACCTGAGATTCCCCTACTGGGGAATCAGTACTGGCAACTCGCTGAGCTGGGCTGTGAGATGGAGCCGAGGATCAGCGACATCACTAGAGACCCCGACTCCTCCCAAGTGTGAGGGTCACTCTAACCAGAGGAGATGCCACACCCACACTCCAATTCACCTCTGAATCACAGCAGCACCTCCTGCAGCATGGCA